TAACAAAAATCGGCAGTGAAACTGAAGATGACGCTACAAAAAGGTACAATATAAATTATTCCATATTGAAGAGAGCGGTCAATAAGTATATTGTCTGTGAAAGAACAGTCTCTGCAATATATAATGAATTGTGACACGTCAAAGGCCATGTGGGATAAGTTACACAGCGTATATGAGCTGAAGTCAGACACAAGCATAACATTAGTACAACAAAAATTCTATAGTTATGTAAAGGATCCAAAAGATAATATATCAAAAGGTCACATATTAAAATTAGAAAACTTAAGTAGGCAACTGAAATAGCTTGGTGAACCTATCTCAGAGTGTATGCTTATTACAAAAATTTTAATGACTTTACCGGAAAGCTACAGACACTTCTACAATGCTTGGAGTTCTATACCAAAAGAACTTAAAAAAGACTAAAAAAACTACAAAAAGAACTTGGAAAGTTTAAGTTCCCGACTTATGGTAGAAGAGACTCGACAAGTACAAGGAAGGGAGGTCACTGAAGAAATTACAGAAAACAGTGATTTTGCAGCAAAAAACTTCGGGAAATAAATGTCGGAACAAATTTTAATATCTAAACAAAATTGAAGAGACGAAGTCAGTAAAAAGCCAGGAAAGTGCAACCACTATAAAAAGCTCGGTCACTGGAAACGTGACTGTAGAGTATTCAAGAAGGGGTAAGAAGAAAATCAACTTCTGGAGTGGCGCTAATCGGGACACAAGCAAAAGTTGAAGAAATCAGTGACACGGAAAAATTTTATGTGGACTCTGGAGCAAGCGACCACATGACAAATCGATTAGAATGGTTCTATAGTTATGTAGGATTTGATATTCATTTACCTCCAGGTATAGGAGATGGTAAACATATTATGGCATTTAGAAAAGGTAATATAACCATTCATAATTTTGTAGATAATAAGTGTGTAAATGCCTATTTATCAGATGTATTATATTTACCCAATCTTAAAATAAATATGTTCTCTTGTGGGGCATGTCTAGATAAAGGCATTCAAATGGTGGCAGACGGCAAAGGTTGTAAATTCATTAAAAATAATAGTATGCGATAATAGTACGCGAATGACAATGAGAACTATGCCAGGCAAAATCATACACAGCGATGTATGTGGACCAATGGAAGAAAACTCAATTGGAGGTAAACGATATTTTGTTATATTTAAAGATGACTATTCTAAATACACATATGTATACTTTATTATACATAAATCTGAAGTACAAGAAAAACTCAAGTGTTTTTAAGTACTGTTAAAACTCAAACAAATAATGTTGTTAGAACATTAAGTGGTGACTGTGGTTTAGAGTATTTAAATGCCAAAGTTTTAGCCACATTGGAAGATCTTGGTATAAAACATGAAACTAGTGTACCGTACACATCTCAACAGAATGGAGAACCAGAAAGAACTATGAGAACTGTTTGTGAGACCGCTAGAACTTTAATATATTCCAAGAATTTTCCAAAATCTGTGGGCAGAGGCAGTCATCTTAGCAGTGTTTGTGATAAATCGCACTGGTAATTCGGGTCAAGTAAGCAAATCTCCTTATGAATTATGGTTCGAAAAATCATGTAAGATAGACAAGTACATAGAATTTGGTACAACTGCTTATAGTTTAGTATCAAAAGAACGGCGAAAGAAATGGGATGCAAACATCCAAAAAGGTTATTTCGTTGGTTATTCAGAAACAATAAAAGGGTATCGTAAATGGTACAAAGAAAATAATGTGGTGTCTTTAAGCCGAGATGTAATTTTTGAAAATAATAATTGCTTCAATAACAAAGATGTTATTTATTCTAGAAGCATAAATGATGATGAGATTGTTTTTAGAACAGAAACCTAGCAAGGACATGAATCAGAAGAAGCAGGAGCACCCGAAAATTAACTTGAACCAAACAGTAACGAGATAAGTTACAATCAAGAACAAGGCAATGGAACAAACATCAACATTTACAATCTACGAGACAGGAGTCATATTAATAGACCATTACGTTATGATAGCTCAGCATTTCTTGCAGCAGAATCTGCAAAGAAATGTTTTTTTTTTTTCATCATGTTAACATTTGGAACCAAAATAATAAAACCTACTAATTTCAGTGCAACTGTGACGCAACGCAACTGCGACCGCGGAAAACGATCATGGCATGTATAGGCATATTTCTTAATTCTTCAATATTTACAAAATAATACGTTCAGTTAAAATTAGATTATCAGTATTCAGTTCTATTGTTATCCCACGAATTACGGTGGTAATTGGCTGCCGTCGGCACTTGGCATACGACTTTTAAAGCATAAGAACGACATGTGATAATTTCCAAAATTATGCACTATTATACGAATATATTATTATGTATAAATAATTTTAAAAAGCCAATACAGTGGGGTAGGGGCATAGTGGGGATGGAGCATATTGCGGCGGAGAGGTCACAGGTCTATATGATTCATTAGAACTGAAATTGATAAAATTATTTTTTAATTAACGTTTTGATCTATAATGGTAGAAATACAAATATTTAAAAAAGCATTGTACCCTATTGGCATTAACTTGCTTAAAAAAGTATTTTTGTTGTTAGGGTTAATACGAATAGGGTTTATCGTCTGTCTATAACAATTTAATGACATAGTATATCGGAGTTGGCAATAGAATGAAAATATTTTTAAATACCCGTTGACTGGTGATTAACTCACACATAAAGGAAGGGTTTATAAAATTTTTTTATTTGTCAACGTTTAGCGGTAGTACTATATCTAAAGAATATTCCATATACATTTGGAACTTAATAGAATATTTTTTAAAAAAGTTGTGGTGAGCCGTAATTTTTCTCTTTTTTGACCAGGAGAGGGGAGGGCACACATGTATTTCAATGTCCCGGTTTTTGGCGATGCATTTAAATAATTTTATTGTTTTTATTTTAATTATTATTTATTTTTCACACAGTATCCTAATACTCCCTCTCCCCTAAAGTCACAGCGTCACCCTTTGGTCTGGGGTGGGGAGGAGGGCGCATATTGTATTACAATGTTTCGTTTTTTCGGCGAGGCATTTGAACATTTTTAAAAAAAATTTTCACAGAGTGTGCAATCAACTCCTCCACCCTCCCTTTCCCCAAATATGTTTTTAAATCACAATTCTTTTAAATCATAATTTAACACACTTTCTACCTTTTTCGAACAAGCAAAGCCTGGTTATTCAGTTAGTTCTCTAAAAAATAATGAACACAAAAAATCAAATATTAAATGACGGTATCGCTGAGCAACTATTATTTGTCCGTGTTATTGAAAATCAATTGTTAAAAAATGGATTATCTGTTTATTCTTCAGGTAATAATTGCGGTGTCACCGCTACCGATAACCCTCAACCCTGCCGTTTTTACTCCCGCACTCCGCACGGTCCATTATAAATAATACTTGAACGCCCCGTTAGTAGCAGCACATGACGACGTACAAATTTACAAATCTAGCGTAAAAACTTGTCTACGCAGAACAGGTTTTACTCGGTCCACGATAGTTTTAGAGCAAAAACACCAAGTATAAAATCGAAAGATAATGACATTTTAAAGGGATAAGCATATCCTTTTTTCGATATACTTAGTACATAGTTCAATATTTAATGTTAAAAAAAGTGTAAATTTTACTTTTTTAAAACATTAATTACTTTTTTGTTTGGACATTTTTTAAAAAACGGATATGCTATTCTCTTAGAAATGTCATCATCTTTCTATTTTATACTTAGTGTTTTTGCTCTAAGACCATCGTGGGCCGAGTAAAACCCATTCTGCGTAGACAGGTTTTAGCGCTAAAAAATTGGGTGTGTGGCGTCCTCTTAAGCAAAATGGAACTTGGTCTTTAGTTAACTTGCCTAGAGATAAAACTATTATGTGGGTGGGTATACCGAACAAAATATAATGTTAAGGGGCATAATGTGCGTTTCAAAGCCAGATTAATTGCAAAAGGTTACAGTCAAAAATATGTTAATGATTTTAATGAAACTTTTAGCCCTGTAGTTAAGTTTGACTCAATCAGATCCACAGCTTGGGCAGGTCGATGTTTAAATAGCCTTTTTGTAAGGAGACTTGGATCAAGAGATAAGTGTGTAGCACTTTAGGAACAAAAATTAAGAGAAAATCTGATAGATCAATAATTATGCAACTAAAATTGTATTGTCAACATATATTGAAGAAGTTCAACATGACTGAAGCAAATCCAGTTAAAATACCAGCAGACCCTCAAAATGTATTGGACGGTAAGGAGCAAACTACAAATCAACTTTGTGGAGTACCCTACCACGGAGCTTTTGGAAGTTTGTTATAACTTCAACACTTTTATTTTTAAACAATAAATTAAAAAAGTATGAACATTTTGGAGGGAAAATATGTTCTTATGATATACACAACTAGCTCTATAGAGAACGAACTATATCTGATAAAGTTCTAAGACTCTTCATTGCGCTTCTACGTGCTAAAGTGATTCTTATAAGACCCTAAATAACAAAATCCGTTCATCGGTTTCAGAGATCTGAGCTGCTAAAGAAAATTCAGCTAAAGTTGACAAATTTTTTAATTGTTATAAACTTAAATCATTTTTTTTTTCATTTGTATTTTGTGTCTTCTTGGCGAATAGCTCGTTCTAATGATTTTTGAATCCACTTTATATCTCTTATAGTTTAAGAGAAAATTGAAAATTAAGCGATCATAAGATGTTACACACAGACTTTTTTTAATTTAAAACATTATACCGCATAGGTATGAATTCCGATCTACCCGCATGTTTTTTTTTTATTACATCTGAGACAAACATCTATTTTCTCACTTATAATTAATGAAGTTAAGTTGGGTGATATTAAAAAATCTGTATATACCTGTAAAATGACGAAAGTTAAAAACTAATAAATGCCAGTAAAATATATTTAGTAATTCATTTAATGGACTAATCTCAATGTCAAAAACAACCAAGTAAAGTGTACATTTAAAATTTTGTGCAATAACCGTGGCTTGGTTGTCACATCATGAATTATTTGTTTAAACTAACATATTTCGTTTTTTACATAATTCTTAAAGTTATATGAACTTGCTTCTAATAAAATTCGCATTACTATTGTTAAGGGATAAAGGCAGTGAATTGTCAAACTGATTGACAAATACAACAATTTCTATATAATCAACAAATATCTTCTACAAGGTAACACAACACGTGGTATCCACTTCAAGGCCGTTTTGAATAATGTTTCAACAAAGAAAATATTGAAAAACAAACATTCAACGTCTGAAAAAAAAAACGTTCACTTTAAATTGGATAACTAAAATTATTTTTAACATAAGCTGACATTTTTGGAGAGGAAGAAGGTAGCTAAGTATATTCAAAGCTCTGAAGTTAAAATTGGGATTCTTAAAATTGTCGAAACCAACAAAGACCCTTCTAAATTTCCACCAAAGATGGATAAATATTATGAAATATGGACGCTTTAAAAATGAGTGTTATGATTTTTATAGTATAATAACCAATAATAAGTATTGCTTTTACTGTAAAATCTTAAAACGTTGTAAATATTATGTTAACATAGTAATGTTTTTATAACATCGGCGGTGGTCAAATGATGTTTGAATGGTTAATCGAATTAAAATCGAGTTTGTTTAAATTTTAATCAATATGGATCTTCAAAATGTATTTTATTATAAATGTAAAATTATCAATTTATTTTGTAATATTTCATCAAAGTGAAAGAAGCTGTGCTTTTCCACAATCGATGAATTGAATTCCAGAAATTGTAAAAGATTTAAAAAGTGTATGAATTCACAATGGTCAGTATTGTTATTTAGCTAAATTTCATTAGCCCCGAATAGCCAAATTATATTACCTAGTGTGAATCATTCGTTTGATTGTAATATGTAAAAAAAATTTAAGTAAAAATACTTACGCTAACGAAGAATTCTAAATTCACAACTTTTTTCTCAGTGATTCTTAATTTCACTAGGTTAGCATTATTCATCTGCATTGTTAACAGTACCAGTTGTTTGCATTTACCATCCATTTCTGGCCAATTACTAGAATACAGTGCAAATATTATTGAGTCTTTCTGAAAATTAACAATAAGAATATTAATTGTAAGTAAAAGTTAATTAATATGTTTATACAGATTCGATTAACAATATTGATGTATATACTAAATATATGTTGTGTGTGTATTTTTTAATTTTAGTACTAAAGTGAGTATGTCCGAATTACCTTTTCGTTGACATTTCCAAATAGGTAGCATAGCATGAAAAGATGAAGCACGAAAACCAACAACGCTGAGACAGTTTTGAACACATGTATTGCGTCGAACGTTGCACCGTTAAAGTAATTCTAGATAAAACAAGCAATATTATAATATGGTTTACTTACATCGATTAACGATGCAACCTATGTTATATTAGATATTATTATCTTACCGCAAAACTAATAAACGAATACACAACCAGTGAACTCGAGTACACGAGAATTTGGCTGAATATAATTGGTCGAAAAATGTTGCAAAAATCTTCGGCCTTCCTAAAAGTAGTATTTTGTAAAAAAAAATTGTATTGGTTAGACAAAATCGTTAATTACAATGACATGTAGATATTAATAATATATTTTATAGTCCATGATAAAAAAATATATTAGACCAGACCAACAATTTTACTGTGATAATAATTATAATAATAATTTTTTCGCCATTTTAAAATACTAATCCAATTAAAAATTTGTTTTTTAGAGACTTTTCGAGTTCAAACGGGGACGTTTACCATAAATTGCATTGATACTACACATTACATGCCTCACATACAACGGTAACTACACATACCAGGATTATCACACACACCATGGTTACTACACATACCACGGTTACCATAGGCATACAAATAAAATAACAATACTAAAAATGACTTTATATATAATAAGATTTAACTTACAAATTATGGATTTTATCGAACAAATTTTCCTACGAAAAATACATGTTTTCCATTTTAAAAGAAACTTATTTTTTACCGTAAATCGGCCATTTTGAATTTTTAAACGTCCCCCTTTAATCTCTAAATTAACAACTTTTTGATTGGATTAGTATCAATGTAGTATCGTAAAATACAAAACATCTTCTTGTACATAACGACTTCTCTAATTATTTGCAGTCTACTCTTTGTTCCAATCAAAATGGAAGAATCTTAAATTTACCATACATATTAATGTCTTACATATTGTTTTTTTGACATAGATATGTCTTTTGGCTAGGGGTCAATAAAAAAACGTGTGTGAAGGTAGCCCCCTCATATTATCAAAATCAATCCAAACCAATTGTAAGTAATTTTTAAGTAATTATAACCACGTTATACAAATTTGTAACTGGGGATGGGGATAGGGACAGGGATGATGCTGGAGTTGGAGATGAGGATGGGGATTTGGATGGGGATAGAGTTGGATATGGACTTTATTGCGTTGTCGTACATGTCTGCTACAATGTTCCTGGTTCCTACCAGTTAACTTGATTAAATTGATTAAGTATAACGAACCAAGTGAATGTTGCCAATAAATCGATTAGGGCCAAACATTAAAAACTACTAAAAAAACTTTTGGCCAACAAAAAAATGTTTTAAAAATCAGAAAATGAGAAGTATACCTTAATTGATATTTACTCGATTATTAGACATATACATATGCTTATGTATCTGCTTGTAATGTGGATACTTTGTTTCATTTATCATTTTTTATGATATCAAAGAAATTCATGATTTTGAGAAAATTCATAATCTTAAGTTCAGAAAATTATTTTTTCATTTACGATTTCTAAAAAATAAGATTTTGAGAAGTTAATGAATTCCTAATAATCCATAAACTATGACTGAGAGTACGGTTTTTATTCTTTTATGATTTTAAGAAATGTATGATTTATGAGAATTTTATGATTTTGGGAAATTTATAATTTTCAGAAATTGATATGAGATATATGATATTTGATCAAATATTGAGAAATTAGCAATTTCTTATAAATCATCATTTATTGCATGGAGATTATAGATTGGAAATAATCATATAATTATATTATGTCAGGACATATCTATGTATTGATGTATCTGCATAAAGTGTGGATACTCTTAACTTTTTTTATTAAGAAAGTCCTCAATAACAAAGATTATTAGCTAAGTAACATGAGGCAAAATAAAAATAGGTTATTAAATTATATACATATAAGAAGAAATTTATTTAATAAGTTATACATACTTAATAATAAACTGGTGGTCTGCGATAATTAATAACAAATCTTGAAACGTTTCATGGGCGTTTGTTTTTCCATTAACAACTATAGTAAAAATAACAGTTCCAATTTCTTGTCTATTGCAGATGATTGCATACAAAGTCTGAATTGTCAAGGGGTGTACAAAAAAATCAACTAAGTGCTCTACAAAGTGCTTACTTGAGTTTGACTCTAATGTTCTTTGATTGTCGTAACCAACGTTTTTCAATCCAGTCATTAGTACGTCCAACTGACCGGTTATTGCTATGCACAGCATTATCATCACAATGTCCGGTATGACCGTGATGACTCCAATGGCCAGTGCGAGTGACGATTCGATCAGGTGAAACAAGAAGAAGTACTTGTTGTAAACCGTATCGGTTACCAAGAAATACATGTTGAACACGTTGTAATGGAAAACGCTGAAAGTACCGTCTTGGTGTTTGGCTTTGACGTAAGTTTCCTTCAAGATGTACGGAGACACGATCCATATGGCTGCCAACAAGTAAACCGCACCGGCAACCACGTTCGTGTAGAGTATGGACCGTTTTCTCCAGACTTTCAACATTCTTTTGTCATAACGTTTAAAAGCGGTGCAATCGAAATCAACCACTGCCAGACAATTCCAAATGGCGTCCGACTTGATGATCACGTTGATGATTTTGTAGTTCATAAATATTATGTTTTGCAACACTATGAGCTGCGAGAAGAACTGTACGACGTCGTGCATCCAAAAGTATAAGCTAAGCAGTACGAACACAGATATTCCTATCACGTACATTACACCGCACAGTGCGAGGATATGAAACGCATTGTAGCCGAAAATTTTCAAAGAATTAGGATTCAACACCTGGTAAAGGCCGACGATCTTGGACAAATGCACATTGAACATATAATTTTCCACGTTATTTATGTCCAACATTTCAACTTTGAAAGCCGAATCTGAAAATGTAGTAACACGGTTTTGTTTTTTTAAATACACATTTTTTTAGCGTTTAACACTCAAAATATAACTAAACACAATACTGGGTGTCTTTAATAGTGAATTCTTATCATAACTCAATTGAAATACCACACATAATGACAACAAGCCGTCGAAACCAATTGAATAACAAACAGATACTGAATTCACAATTAATTGTTATTAATTTGAATGTACTTAAGTATTAGAAAGATAACATTGGTTTTTGAAGTGAAACATCTTTACAGAGGGTACGGAAAAAAATAGATTATCACACTCTTACACTTACACACACATACACACACACAATGTAAACAAAAGTCTTATTTTTAAATTCGTAAAATAATATCATCATGCAAGTATAAAGATGGGTTTTTTTGCCAGCTAATACTTCATTAATTAAAAATATTATAAGTAATTATTGTATTGAACCTTTCAATAAATAATAAAGCCATACTTAGGGAGACTATTATTGATATTTTTCCTAAACCGCGAGAAGGAACGTGAAAATTAAAATATATGCATTAAGAAATTATAAATTATTACCCCTTACAATACATATGTATGAGGAAAAAATATGCATGTTCTCTAGTTTATAATATTAAACAATATCATGGGAATATAAAAATTATTTTTAAAAAAATGTTTGCCAAAGTTGCACTAATGTGCGAGAGACTGTTTTTTTTTAATTCTGTATTAATAAAGATTGTGATAGTCTGATAAAAAAAACTAACAATAAACCAATCGCTTAATATATTATTGCCAAGAATATAATATCGCATGGTTTAATATATGTTAAATGAACAGGTTTCATACTTTCATGTACTCTCACAGTTTAGGAAAAATATCAATATTAGTCTCTCCGAGTATGGCTTTATTATTTACAGAAAGGGTCAAAATGTCAATAAAAAATACATGGGTCATATTTAATAAAAAATGAATAATACAATTATTTATAATATTTTTAATTAATGAAGTATTAGTCGACTACTAAAATTGTAACGCTATAAGCATTTTTCCAACCTCTTCAAATAATTGGTACTCCATTGCATTTTTTAAATTTAATTTTATTAAATTGTTCAAACAAGATGTATTATTAACACATTTTTAATGAACTCCATAGTATAAAAAATGAAATAACAAAACATGAAGAGTGAATTTGTCAAACGTTCTAAGTGCCAAAGTATAAAAAATTGAACTTTATAATTTGATTTGTATTATATTCATTACCGAAAACAATTTAGTAATTTTTTCAAGTAAGGAATAGTTACGAAAGCTATTTTGTCTTATCCGTTTGAATAACACGTGTGAAGTTGATATGGTTATTATTTTTTTATTGTATACTTTTTTTTAGCTTAGACGTGGAACCGAGAAGGTGTTGGTTTTACAATGATGTGTGTTGTTTAGTTTTACAGCTACAATATTCGGAGTCAGCTCGCTGAGAAGATGATAAAAAAAACTTCAAAAAAAGTATATGAGGTAAGGAAAAATAAAAAATTCTGTTTTTATCACTGCGCCACACTATGCTTGAATGTGACTAATTTGATAACTGGAAACTTAATTAATTACTTACTTACCTTACTTTACAAACCGTTTAGATTCTAAAACAAAACGGTGTAAACATTTAGTGGGTTGCAGACGAATGACACTTGATTAATGATCAATCTAGTCTGCCACACCAGTATACGACTGTTCCAATAAAAATAAAAATAAAAGAGGTCAGTTTTTAATATTTAAGAGACAAACACAACTATTGTTACTGACCAATCATAGTAATTTTGTGTGTATGCATACCATTTTAAATGAGGCCGTTTCTATTGACATTACATCAAAAAAAAAAAAAAAAACACATTTATATACCTATATAAAGTTTTCAAGGTGTTTACTTTATAATTTATAAGACGGACATCGATCAGGAATTGTTAACAAGTTTATCTTCGAGGTCGCAAAATGTGTGTTCCTAATAAATAGGTACAATAGAAAAACTTTTACACGACTTTGTGACTTCTTAAATATATTCTATAGACTACTTTCTACCGCTGTAACTTTTAACATCTTGGAACATGTTATGGTTTCTATTCTAGGACTACCTTAGGTCTAATTTTCAGACCTAAAAGTTCTAAAACTTGGCCCGAAAATGGGAAATAAAGAACCAATTTCCATCGCTTCTAGAGGAAAGGGTTTATGGTATTTCTTTGGTTTGTCGACGTTTGTCCACAGTGCTAAAGAATACTCCATACCAATTTGGAACTTATTTGTTGAGTTGCCTGTGGGAAATATCGGTTCAGCAGTTTAGAAGAAGATATAAATAAGACACTTCAGGGTAAAGACGATACCTTCTCGGTAACGCGTTAAAATATGTCAAAAAGAACAACTATAATATTGTAATAATTATTTTCCAAGAAAACGAACGTCTCCTCTCTAATAAATCACCCTGTACATTCGGAAAACGCATTTAAATTAACCCGTATTCGTATATATATATATATATATATATATATATATATATATATATATATTCAAAAATCTCTTTGCACCGAATGAAGTAATAACAATTACACAATGTATGTAGCTCGTTGTCTTTCATGTACCTATTTGAGAACGATTCACCCGGGTTAACTCTTTCGTGAATACGCTGATGGAAATTTATGCATGACTGTCACAATTTTATTATGTACTTGTATATTCAATAGTAAGAACAAACTGATTTTTATTGCATCACGCTTAGCCGGGTTCGTACAATACAAATGTGATTACAATATTGTTTTGTAAAACGTTTCCATAATAATATATAGTGTATGCAAACGGCCTACGTTATAATATACCTGTATTAAACATATATAGATATATATGAATAAGGTCATCATAAAATATGTATATTATAATAAAATAGGGCGTTTTACTAAAAAGGAATTCATTTTTTTCTCTTTATTATACAATACTTTCGAATTTGTAAGAAAAAATAAAACTGAATACCTCGTTTGTTTAGGGTAGGCCTTTGGTTTGAAGTCATAACATATAAAATCTATTGTACAACTATAATAATGCCCACATCAATATTTCCCAGACATCAACCTTATTTTCTGGCTTTATCAGAAATTATTGCTAGCACAAATTGTCTGAACGACACAGTCGATGATATCTTGTCAACTAGTAAGCTCCTATACTTGCTGTACGGTTTGGTATGGTATTGTTTGTGCTAAAGAACGTCTTGTGCTACACAATAGAGGATAATGGGTATGGAGAAAAAAATGTCATTATTTATAAGTTTTATCCAATATCAACGACAGGTTATGATCACATGTGTGTAGCTCGTTGGTAGAGGTGTCCCAACCCTCGCACAAGATGTACCTACTATTTTTTGTTTTTGTGGGAGGGAGGGGAATGTAGATGTTCGAACAAATGATGTTCCAATAATAAAGAATAAACAAATAAACAATATAACAACCGCTGTTTGCTTTTATAAAGATAAAAAAAATAAGTTTTAGTAATATAAATAATGTTTTTAAAAACATTGTCTAGATCATTTGTGTATGCCTCTTAAATAATAGTACAGTATAATATTTTAGTATAAATGTCATCATTAATAGTTCCAAAATATCCCAAATTCCATAAATAACAAAGATTTATTATTTTTAAAATACTCGGATACGAATTTCAATCGTTTAGTTTTTATTATTACTACATGTTTTGTATTTTATTATTATTTTTGGAACAAGACCGTCACAACTAGAAATTTATAGTTTTGACAAAAAATCGATTTGAAGATTCAAACAAAGATATGATAAATGGTTCCTTGCCAACGCATTTGTAAACGTGATGTGCAACATAGACATTTTCAAATATTATGAAACACTCAAAAAGTTAGACTTGGGCGTTTTAACAATTTTGTTTAAATATCATTTGAAGCTAACTGTGTACTACCTTATTGATTTTCAGTATAAAGAATTTTAGAGTTTGTCAATAGAGATTGTAATGAGTTTTCGGATCAGTTTTGTTGAAAGATACCATAATTTTCTTTAGTGCGATCAATATTAGAATTTGGTTCAGTAGGGTGGAGCCCGAGTCAAGATAGTCAAATTGGAAACTTAGATAATGTTCAAGTAAAATTGCTCAGAATATTTGCATTTAAATTATAAGAGTAACTTTTCTTCGAAGAATGCATTAATGAGACGTTGTAATATTGAATAACTCGGTGCTAGGAAAAAGTATTTAGAAGCTATGTGACTATTTAATTTCTTAAATAATAATATACAACCGTTTCATGTTCCCAGACAGAATTTACTAAGTCAACATTTTTTTTATGTTTTGCCATTTAAGTGTAAATTCATAGGATGAATGCTTGATTGAAACGTTTATTGCAAGTGGGTAATCTATTATATAATGCCAATTTTGATTTCTTTCATAATAAAGTCTTATTTAGATTAATTGATTTATACAATAAATATCATTCTTATTGTTGTTATAATGATGTTTAAATATTTGTAATCTTTGCCCTTGCGGTTGTATACACTATACATGGTGATATTTTTTTGTCATGAGCCATTAAATATCTCACTGGGTTGGGTTAATAACGGGAATTTTTATTTCATATAATTTGATCTCAATTTCCACAAATTTTTATGTTCCTAGCCCCCCCCCCCTTCCAACTAATTATTGGTAAACGTTTGTGGAAAATAATTCAGATTACATTATATGAAAACACTGTTGGAAAAAAAAGCAATATTATTAATCAAACCCAGCGAGTTGTCGAGTGGCCACAGTAGGTAAGTATGACTACTGTACGGGGTGATAAAAAAAAAATCCACCCTGTATATTCATAAATAAAATTACAATTCAAGCGACAGTGTAATCATATGTGACAGTGACACAATTCGGTAAGCGCGACCCGCGAGCACAGCCAATAATAAATCACCCTTGTGGTGTAAATAAGGATTTTCGCCCGGTAATGGTGTCCTAGGTGCAGGCTGAAATCCAGGTCATCACGTAGTAGTTTTAGCCTGTGACTAACCCCGTAGTCCTGCTGGATCAGGCAGGACTCTTTTTTCGTTCCCGTCTGATTTGTATTCACCGTTCATCCCTTGAAAACCATTCGTCGCCTTTTATTCCCCACCTC